ACACAGGGCCTGATTGGGGGGAGAGGGGTTACTGAGTGACAGTGTGAGGGAGAGGGATTAACTGCAGGTTTAAACGTGCCCCTGCCCTGTCACCTTCATCTTCGAAGAGCACGCTGATGCATCGTGTGTGATTACATATTTATTTACATACCCCGATTCCCCCAAGATACAAAATCTGAAAATCGGCAGCCACGTGAGAGTGGGGAATATGCGAAATCTCCGTTAGTCCTGCTCCGAATCCCAGTCATTCTGCAGGATCAGCCTCCCTGCACTTGGCAATTGAACAGACAAGTGCCTTTGTTCTCTGCTCCAGCTGATGTTTTCCACCACATTCTCTCTCTCCCTCTCTCCTTCCTGGTGCCCTGTAACGCATTGGCCTGGCCCCTAAACGCTCTCTGAAGTGGTGAGTCACCAGGGGACAGGAGTCGGTGTGAGGAGCAGGGGGGAGAAGGAGGGAAAGCAGGGTAAGGGGAAGGGAGAAGGAGGGAGAGGGGGTAAGAGGCAGGGGGAAGGAGGGAGAGGGAGGGGGGGAAGGAGGGAGAGGAAGAGGGGAGTGGGGAGGAGGGAGGGGGAAAGGAGATGGAGGGGACAGGGGCAAGGAGGGGGGGGGGGAGGGGGGGGAGGGGGGAGGGGGAAGGAGGGAGAGGGGAGAAGTGTGAAAGAGAGCGAGCAGCAGGACGGAAAGGGAACAGAGACACGAGCCGAGAGCAGTGGCAGTGTGAAGGTGAGAGAGCGTGCTGACCTACAAGCTTCCTGTCAGTCACTCTCACAGTCGTCACTGATCAAGCCCTGCAGGTTGGACCATGTGGTCAGCTTCCTGGGCCGCTCCTCGTCCTCCGAATCAGACGGTAGCATTCTCTTGTAGCTCTGTGGGCGGCTGGTGCCCAGGTCCCAGGCAGCGGCTCTCTGTCGGCGCGGGCGCCCTGTGGGAACAAGGAGCCTCTGTCAGGGTAACTCCTGTCCCAGTGAGCACACGGTCTGACACTCGCTGGGTGTGGGGGGGGCACACACACTGTCAGGGTAACTCCTGTCCCAGTG